TTCAGCTCATCTTTGCGCTGACCATTCCCCGCAGGAGTCAATCGATTGGCCCAAACAATGGCTGGGACCTGTGTGAAACCCACGCCTAGACGTGTTACCACAACCCCCAAGTACGACAATAGTAAAATGCTGGCGCGAATTCTAGGCAGTCCGGCTACCGCATGCCATGAGCCCCTCTGATCTCACTGACATACCACCGCCCGTAATTAGGCCAATAGGCACTACAAAACCACTTTCGTTGTATCCTCCGATATTGAATTTGAATAAAAGATTACAACACCCATGTATTCGAACCCTTTGTCAAAAGCAAAATTAAGTATTCAGAGTTAAGAAGAAACAGATGTGATCGCTGTAACAAGAATTTATTCGCCTGACGTTTCGAAGATCCATAATCAGAGACCCGTTGCTGAGAGTTAATCTCAAGTTTGCAAAAGTCAGAATTCCGGGATAAGAATCACAGATTACGTTGGGAGAAATTCTTCTTTCGGATCGCACCAATCCAAGCGCAGCTGCACTTTCTTCATCGCTGTCTGGACCAAAACGTGTCACCAAAATGTGTCACCTACAAGCAACCTGTAAATTCTATTTTGGCAAGAGAGACTTTGGCACGGCATAGCAGACGCGTGACTGGGGTTACTGAACTCGGTTGACCAAAATATCCAACTGACGATGCAAACGGAAATAAATAACCAACTCCCCTTCTTCGATGTCCCGGTGCGCTGTTGTTCAACTGGACTACTGCAAACCACAGTATTAAGGAAAGCCACTAGCATGAAACAAACAATGCACTTCAACAGCAATCACCTTCTGTCTCACAAACGTAGTTGCGTTCGTACTCTTTTCGAAAGAGTTGAAACACATTGCAGCACCCTAGCTGACAAAAGAGCGGAACAATAATACCTTCATGACCCCTTTCGAGCTAATGGATACTCGAATTCTTTTATCAATCAAAGCAAGCGCATAGTGAATAGAAAACGGCCAGAGTAACAGCAATCCGAAGTCTGGAGGGCCATTCTCTACATAAGAGGGGTCTCCGAAACAGTCTCACGACTGTTAAAACCCTCTGGAGTAGGCATGGTCAATTGACCTCAGGTTACAATACGCTGCCGTGATGCAACCTAAAAATAAACTGCCCCTTACTTAAGCCTCTGCAGTTCGCTACCAAGTACGTTGCAACGATGGAGACAACAATAACGTTGGAGAAATAGGACGCAAACTGCAGACCCGTTTACACGAACACAAAGCTGTGGCCCGGAGACTAGACCAAAACTCGCAGCTTGCAACACATATCGGAGAGACCGGCCACAACTTCGATATTCAAGGAGCGACCATCCTAGGCCAAGGAATCTCAAAAGCGGAAAGACTGACGCTTGAGGCATGGTACTCAGACGCCAACTCCGTCAACAGGCATCTAGACGTTCCCGCGGCCTACAAAGTCCTACGCCATTACGTGAGTAAAGGGCAAGACAAGGTCAATCCGAACTTAAGATTTGCAAACGAAGACGGCCTGTGAGGCAATCACCGGAAGAGGGAGCAGGATTATCAGCATCCTCTATCGTAGGGACGAAACACAAGCCGTCAAGCTATGACAAAATCCACACGAGGGCCAAGCAGCAGCTTGATGGAACACCCCTCTGGAAAATCACTCTTTAGGTTGACGGGTAGCTTTTTACAAAGAATATGAAATGAAAACTTTCAAAGGCTTACTCAAATACAATGCCGTCATCTGCTTCTGTAAGACCATGTGGAGCCCTCACGATAATGGCATTTTCCTTTGGTCTGCTGACGGAGAATGCAGGGTTATACTGAACGTCTGTCTTGTCCCGTACAATTCTAACGACTGGTCTCTGGCCCTCGGGGGCGCTACAGGTAAACTCAAAGGGCCTCCGCGGCCTTCGCGCAATCGAGCCGGGGGAAATGACAACCTCAAAATCTTTAAAAAGAAAAACATTTAGCACCTTTTTTCTGCTGCAAAAAACACACATGTTGACTGGCATGTTTACACAAAGTAAAATCGATTCGGTTAACTGCGTGGATAAAAATATTGATAAGGATTGTGTTGATGTTATCCCGGCAGGATTTTGGAATAGGAACCGTCCATAAAAAGGTTCTGTGTTACATTCCAGCGAACAGGGCGGCGGGGCGCAGATGTTTCATTCCCACCAAAGTCTTAATTCCTTGGCGTATAAAGGTCTCTAATGCAATGCGAATTTTCCGACGACCGCCAGTTCCTACATGTTTTTATCGTTTCTAGACGGCACAGCCATGTGAGAGTTGCACACAGGAGTAAACACAGAATTTAATGCGAGTCAGAACCTAAACAGAGTAGGCTGGACTTCCCGACAAGTAAACACGTCGCATTCCGCGCTCTTCAGCATTATAAGGCTGTGT